CTTACTACTTACTATCTCTCTCTCTCTCTCTCTCTCTCTCTCTCTCTCTCTCTCTCTCTCACTACTCTCTCTCACAACTAACAAACTACTACTCTCTCTCTCTTAATACTCTAACCTCGCAACCTACTCTCTCTACTCTCTCTCCCTCCTCCCCCCAAAAAACCCTAAACACACACACACACACACACACAAAAAGAAAAAACAAAGCCAACCGTACTACTACTCTCTTTACAATGTCAACTATATTACTCTCCCTCCCCTATGCAATGTCAAACCTACTACTCTCTCTACACACAAACCTGCGCTGTTTTTCTCTTCCCCGAAGGCTCTCTCTCTCAATAATCATTGTACTAATCTCTCTTTAAGAAAACCCGAATTGTTACTCTCTCTCTACACAAAGCCAAACCTACTAGTAGAGAGAGATGTTCATGGGTTAGAGGGAAGAGAGAGAGAGGGTTGTGGGTGAGTGAGAAAGAGCTATTATTGTGGCAAGGGGGGAGAGCTACATTCAATGGATATGGGTGTGGAGCGTTAACATGGGTACGAAGAGTTGGATTCTTCGGCAACACAAAAATGCAAGAATCCAGAGCACATAATAGCCATACAAGAATTGATGGAAAATCAAAGAATCTGGCAAAGTTAGTGAAAAAATCACAGATATTTGACTGTCGTACAGCCCGACGATACTTTTTTGAAACAATAGATGTAGAGGATACTAGTTTTTACGAACTCGAGGTTTGAGATGTGTAGCCGTTCTTTATGCCTAGGGTTTAAATAAAAAAAAATATACAGGAAATAAATTTCGAAGTATAATATTATATTACAAGTTTCTTTTGGGAGAAGAATCATGTCAAATTCCACGTGTATGTGTTTATCAGGAATTCTTTCTTTAGGATTCTTTGGAACGGAGAATCCAGCCTTGTCCATGCCCATGCACATGCCCAGTGTCTAGCTGTGTTTGACACATGCAGGAGCCTAGGGTGAATAATACATGCAACATAGAGAGAGAGAGAGAGAGAGAGAGAGAGAGAGAGAAAACAAGTTTTAAATATATTATCTTTTCAATGGTTTATGAAATAGAGGTACATATGGAAAATCATATCCATTATATATTTTAAAAGTAAAATAATTTACAACTAATAGGTTGGCGCTTTAGTGTTTAGTGTCATGCACATTAATTAGGATTAATCAAGTTCAAACCCCGTCTAACCCACTATTTAAAATACAAAAAAATAATAAAGGCACTTGCCAGGCTTTTGGGTCGCACCAGGCCATGGACCCTAGTCCAAACCCAGCCTAGATTCACAACCGGGCTTGGCCTGACGGCCAGCTTTAGAGGCCCATGAGTTGGTTTCATTAGGCCAGGCTAATGCGGTCAGGCCAGCCCATGGCCAACCCTACTTGTGACCATTAGCAAATGCTCATTTGCAAAAAATCCCATAAACCTAAAAACCATCCAATCAATATGGAGAGTAAGATGAAAAGAACACATCAAATCAAATTAATGAAGGAATAGTAACCGGTGAGGTGGGGGCCTCAGCCGACAAGGTGTGGTGGCCCTTTCATTCTCCATATTTTGGCCAATTGAGGACCCAAAAATTTGCAAATCCATTCCGTTGACCACTCTAAAAATGATTCATCTTGAATGTCATCTCAACATCAATCTAGATTGTCCATATCAACAGACAATAGATCAGTCAATTTGCACCATTTTAGGAGCTCCAAATCCGTTTTTATAGGGTGGAAATGGATTTGCAAGGGTTTGGAATGGTTTTTAGGTCCTCAATCAATCAAATATATGGATTATGAGTGAAGCCTCATGGTGTTTGCATTACTTAGAATTATGTAAGACTACTTAAAGGGAGCGTTCACACTCAACATAAAAAATAATTTTAAAAAAAGACTTTAATTACTAAACATTATTTAAAACTACTAGTTAAGTTCATATCAAAACTCAACAGACCCAAAGCCATCCAATCTAAAAGCGCATGATTTGAACTCAATAGACAACAAACACATGAATCAATTTGTTATGAGGAACAAACCTCAAACATGAGATTGTATTTCCCATCTCTATTCCGCATCCTTAGATATGATTGGCATGCTTCCGGATCTTCACCTGGTGGCAGTAGATATATATCGTAAGTCTCCTCCGTAGATTCTGTATGCGCTTCTGAAATAACTGCCTTGATTTGATCCACAATCACAGCCCTCGCTGACTACAATAAGAAGAGGCACTTAGTTGCAAAATATCATAACATTTGAGCAGGACCCATTAACCTTCAAAATATACATTCAACTGAGTAATACTCGATTGATAAAAGATGAGAGCTTAACCTTTAAAATATAAGTGGGATTCTGGAATCCTGAAAATGGGTTGAATTTGTTGGTAATTTTAATATGGGCTGTTTGAAGATCTGGTTCAATGAAAGCTTTGTACATTGGATAAACCTGCAAATAAATAGAATACATGATTATTTATAACTCATGGCTCTTGTATTAACTGGAAAAAGCAAATCTAATAGAGGAGGAGAAAAACCGTTTCTGATATCTGATGAATAATTTCTTCTGGCTCTTGCCCAGCACGGTGTATGTCTCTTAAAACCCTTTTTACAAGATCGAAATGTACCCCACCTGTCACTGATACCCGAAGATCAAGCACAGGCCTTAGCCTTTCGCTTAAAGCATAGATTCCTTCAAGAATTACAATCCGTGAACTGGGAACTTCTATTGTCCTGTCAGAATTACAAAAGAAATGGCACATAAGCACAAGAGGCTTGTAAAATTATAATAAAGTGAAGTAAGAAAAGAGTGCCTAGAAATCTCCCACAAAGCGAGACTCACTCAGGGGCTCCACAAATTTGAAATCTCAAAACAGTGCTTGGACCGGTCATTCCTACTGAATGAATTTTTTACCCCGGCTCTGGTAGGACAATAAAGGTGATTTTTAGCAAAACGACTAAAAATGTATCTGGTACAGGCACTGTTTTGATATTTCAAGTTTCTGGAGCACCTGCATGATTATTGATTGTTTTTCCCAGAAGCAACTTAATGGTCAATAAAACAAGTACAACATCACTATCACTTATAAACAAAAGGTCATGAAATGTCTAACCTGTATCCAGTGCGGGTGCTTGACTTGAAATCATAAATTGGTACCTGAACAGGTTTACCCACTTTCAGACCTTGAATATTTTCAAGTAAAGTGTCGTAGTCTGTCAAACGTGGATCTGTTTAAACATAAACAAAAATGTCAGTGATATCATTTGGGAAAAATGATAAAGATAAAATATTACAACGTGATAGGCAAATCCAGATTGCATCGAGTCCAATCTCTATGCGTAGCCATGACCAACTTCATGGAAAACTTTCCTGTGATGGTCTCAGGTAGATATTTTATTTGTCACAGAACTCAAATCCCAATATGGTCTCTCTCTCTCTCT